GCCTCTCTCCTTTTCTCGGTGTCTATCCAAAAGATCAAGAACCACTGCACCCATCAGCCTTTTGCCTGTTGGTAATCATTAATGTGTCTTCTCTCCTCTCCCATCCCACAAAACAAGTGCTAGTTCAGATACCTGAAGGTGAGGACCGTGTTTGAACTTCTACTCTGTCTCTTGTGACAATCAACTTGGCTAAGCTAGAGAGCTTCTATAATTTGTTTACTTTATTAAAAGAGATTATTCACAGTTACCTGGGCAAGTTTCATCCCATCAGTTGAAAGGCCTCAAGAGGAGAAACTGAGGTTTCCACCATCAGTACCTGCTCCAGATTTGAGACTTGCCAGTGCCTACAATTGCAAAAGCCAATTCCTTATAATAAATCTTTTTCCATACATATAGCCTACTGACCGAGGTCCAGCCTATTCTGGACCAAGGTTCTCTCTGGTAGAGCCCTGACTGATATACCCCCAGACCTTGAATTAAGCTTAAAGTTTTTATCACAGTAATTGAGTACTTTATTAAGCATCTTAAATTTGCTCCTTACTCATGTGTGGCAGTTTTGTGCCACCCCCCACCTCAATTCCCCGTCCCCCCACCAAGCATGTCAGGTCCAACTCATGTGTTTTAGTCATGAGTTTGTGTTGATTGTGATAAGTTAGATTTTGACTAAAGGAAGTAGAAGCTAGAATGTTTTCAGTAAAGGGGATTCCTTACCACTTGGGCTGGGCTTTCCTCAAATGGTAATTTTTTAAGACATGTTGCAGCCAGGTTTTGAATTAACAGTAGCGTTAGCCACTCTGTATGAGTTTAGGAATCTTTGAACCACATGGGGCTTTTCTTTGTATATATGACTTGAGAATTTTACCACGTAACAGAGGAACTACTGATAGCTATATTGACAAATGTTGGTTGAACCACAGAGACCCTGGAGTGGGGTAGGGTGATTTAACCTTCAAACAGTGTGAAGTGTATTGCTTCCGAGGAATCATTGATCAGATTCACGGGCTCAACTCAAGCACTTGTTTCCACCTTTTGTACCATTGTAATTATGTATTGTAACTAATCCTGATAATATTAACACTTAGGCCCCAGATGTCATTAAGTCTCCGGGTCGTGTGGGAATGGAAACGTAAGTTTTCTCCCAGCTTTCTAAGATCTTCCTGCTGCCCTAGCAATGATCAAATTAATATGAGAAAATGACCAGACTTAGGATGTGCATACATGGGTTCCACAAGAATGTGGGACCTGAGGACACATGGGGCAGTGTGGCTTCTGTGCTATTCCGGACCAAGGAGAGGGAAGCAGGGGTCTGGGACTTCACAGGGGAGGCAAGCAACTCACAGGTTAGATGAAAAGTAGCAAACATGTGGTCAGCAAATTCTTGCTGAGCCACCCAGAAACCTTGGGGCACAGGAGAGAAGTCCAACAGACGGGCTTTTGCTTGGATCCTCCCCGCCTGCCACTAACTTCTCGTGTGCTAAGGTCACTGTGCTGAGGGTTTCTTCCTGAAGCAGGTTTTCCTATCTGAATTTCTTTTGGAAGTTAAAGGGGGGGAGGATCCGAGTTTCTTTCTGAATCTTTTGTTTCTTAAAAATAATCAGCTTGAAATAATCAATACTCCAAAAGGTATATTTTGGGATAGAAAACCCTGGTCCCACTCAGAGGAATGAAGCTCAGCAGCAAAATTAAGCAACTTGCACTTCAACACCTTCCACCCATGACCCTTTCATCACTGTGGGGTGCAGGGAGGGTAAACTGCCTCAGTGAGCGTCTCAGCTGAATCACTTGTTTCTTTTGTGTGGATTTAGTTTCTGAGTAAAAACTCAAGCTTAGAGAAATCTACTTCAATAATGCAAATGCAGCAGAAAGCATGAATTAGGAAGAGAAGATAGTACAGTGTTTTCCATTTTCTAACTTGTTCAGCTAATGAATAGTAACTGATAAAAGTAGAAAGCCCTTCCATAGACAAGCCAGGCTGGAGTGGAAAATATTTGGGAATTGGGAGGAGGTGAAGCTCCTCCCCTGCATGATGATGTAGCGTGGAGAGTCCCTCTAAGGCTTTCTGTGGTGGGGGCCACTGTTAGCTCACATGATACTTACAAATCAAAAACTAACTGCCACGGCTCCCTTGCTGGGTATTTTGAAATCCTTTTGAAGTCAACCCTAAAAGCACTAAGCACAATTATAAAGGAGCCAAGACAAACAGCACTGTGAGTGTGAGACAGCTTTCCTATGTACATCCCTCACAGTTTGAATGCCATTGTGAACTTCAGGCTGCGGAATGTAGGCCTGGAAGCCAAGGTCAGGGAGACTCTGTAGGGCCCTGCCTACTGCCTTTCCCAGCATTCTGGAGCCCATCGGGGCCAGGGGCCACCTCAGATGCCTGTGGGAAGCCTGGAGAGGGAGCCAGAGCCACCCTCCTGCCCCAAGGGCTTAGAGCATCACTGTGAGGTTCTGTGTATTACCTCCTTCCTTTGTTGCCCCTCCCTCCTTACAGCTTTGCTATCAGAAGTGAAGGGAGGTGAAACTTGTCAGCATTCAAATAAACAATACATTATTTTTTTTTAGATTTTATATATTTATTTTAGACAGTGGAAGGAAAGGAGAGGGAGAGAAACGATGTGTGGTTGCCTCTTGTGCGCACCCTACTGGGGACCTGACCTGACCCGTAACCCCAGCATATGCTCTGACTCAGAATCATACCAGCAACTCTTTGGTTTGCAGGATGGTGCTCTATCCACTGAGCAACACCAGCTAGGGCACAATAAATTAATTTGCTGCCATGAGCAGTCCAGATAAACTCATGGTTGGATGATTTAGAACTAATAGGAAACCTAGTAAGGTACCACCAGATTGGCAAACGTTTGCAAGCATGAGTCCACCAAGTGCTGACAGGGATGTGGAGAGATGGGACCACCTGTGTACCGCTGGAAGAAGCAGGACACGTGTGCAGCTGCTTTGGGAAGCAGCTCAGCTTTATCCCACACAACCAGTGATGTGTGCACAGGGGGACAGCAGTGATGCTTAGACACAAACCCCTCTCAGCAGCCCTGTTTATGCACTCGCAAGCTAGAAAAAAAAACCCAGAGTTACATGGACAGCAGGACAGGTGATTCAGCTGTGGTATTCATGCACCAGCGAGGACTGACAGACTACGGCGGTGCACATGCGCAGAGCCTGAAAGCGTGAGTTTGCATGAAAGAAGCAAGTCACAAAAGAATGCAGTGTGATTCTATTTCAAAGAAAATGAAAATAGGTAAAAAACACATCCTGTTGTTTAGGAATGTAAACATAGATGGCAAATATTAAAAGAAATGGCTATTACAAAAGTCAGATGTTTGTCTTTGGGAATGATGTGATCAGGAAGGTGGACATGGTGGTGACTGCAGGCCGTGTCTTCATTCTCTGAACTGTGCGTTCTCAGTTCGTGCACATCTTTTATCTCACACATCAAATTAGATGGAGAATGGCTCCCTCAACAAGTTTCCCCTCACACTTAAACCACACTGCCCCTTGCAGGTAGTTCTGTCTTTTTGGGTTTTTGGTCCAGCCTCTGCTTCTCCCCCTTGCCTCTTGGGAGGTCCAGACACCTGCATAGACCTGAGATGGCTGGTGTTTCTCCCTCAGCTGCTGGGCTGCAGGCCATGGAGTTTGGAGGTTGAGGGTACAAATCCCCTTTCTGCCTATTGGGCAACTTTGAAGTCTGGGACTTGAGAAGTCACCTGGCCCAGGGGAGGAGTTCCTGAGCATAGAGGACCTGGCCCAGATCCCCCCAGGGCTGTCTGGAGGGCCTCAAGACCATGGTGAACCTGCGATGGACATCTTGCCCCCATCCCAGACACTATCTCCAACAGGGAAGGGGAAAGGATTTGCTCTGTAACCCAGAATAACAAGCCATGTAGGGTAGGCCATGTGTCTGAGCCTGTCCTAGGGAGCTGGGTGGACAGTGTGTGGGTATGCCCTGGGGTAGGGGTGGAACCGAGATTTCCACAGCTGAGCTCTTCATCCTTTCCCCCTGGGAGCAGGGCTACCCAGGTTGCCAGTGGAAGAGGTGTCAGAGTGGCAGCACAGTGCACGGTCTCTTGTACAAGCAGTTTGGCCTGGCTGCAGGGCAAGAGCTGTGTCTGCACCCACAGCACTCTGTGTGTAAGGGACCACCCAGGAGGTGGGAGCTGGAGAGCTCACGGTCATCACACCTGTCTGACCAGTGACAACTCAGGAAAACGGAACAGTGTCCCCCATGTCTGTCTTCCTTACAGCTGAAAGGCCATGGTGAAAATAACCCTTAGAGGAGACTGAACTGACAGTGAAGGGCCCAGTGATGCAGATATGTCTAATGCATCGCTGCTCCTTTCAGAAGGATGTGAGGAGCAGACCAATTCACACCAATGGTCAATTTAACATACAGCCTAAAAGCCTAACAACTTTGCCTCTTGCTTCCCAATTTGCATTTGCAGAAGATTCTAGGGCCTCACCTTTGCCAACAAACACCCAGTTCTAAGCTGCATTTCATCAAAGAATATCATTCTTTACAAACTCATTAAAAGCTAAACAAGGCTGGGCATGCAGGCAGCACAACCTGGAGAGCAACTCTGCAGTTCTTTTGATGGCTCCAGTATTAGCAGATGAATAGAAAAGCCTTCTTGCTCTTTTCCTTCAGTGTTCTGTTTATTTCTTCCCTTTCCCTTCATCCTACCCGCCTTTGCCAGAGTTGCAAGTGAGATGTGGGTTGTGAGAAGGGAAGACAGTGAAATTGGGCACAGTACGGGAGCAGGTCAATTACAGCTATGGAGAAAGTTAATTGGTATTTGACATTTCACAAAATAGTCTCTTTTCAGGATTCATTCATATATTATAGTTTCACCATGAAAAACTCAATGAAACCACTATTATAGTGCCTGGAAAGTGTTTTTGGGTCCTGCCCCAGTTATGATGGAAGTGACCATAGGAAAGTGGTCTTTCCGGAGGACTCATCCATGTGCTACTCCCTCTCCACCATTTAGGAAGGAACGGTGTCTCCGACTGACCTGGACCTCGTCATGTCTCACGGCCTCGGCCTGCGCTATGCGTTCATGGGACCCCTGGAAACCATGCATCTCAATGCAGAAGGTAGGAGCTCGGATGGGAATTTTGTGCCGTGTAGAGTTTTATGTGTTTCAGAAATAATCAAAGGTTGTTTTTTCTTACAACTGAAAACAATATCATGTACAGGGGATGGTGGCCAGCCCTGGTCATTCACAATCGAGGCAGGACAGTGGCTATGTCCAGGGCCCCATGTGGGACAGCCATCAGGGAAGGACCAGAAGAGAGGTGGGTGATGTTGTGGAGACTTCTGCCTATCATCCAGCCTAAGAGAAGATAAAGTGGTATTTTCCTGAGAAAGATAATGAGATGATTTAGAGGCAAAAGAAAAGAAAAGTAGGGAAGTAACCACATGAACCTCTGCTGGACTTATCTTCTGCCTAAATATGGGCAGCTTGCAAGTGTGACTGGCTGAGCTGTAGGCTTCTTTCTGGGTGCCCTTGGTCAGTGGCCAAGTTGGGCCATTGGTTACCCTGGAAGCCACTTCAAAGGGCAAGCAGGAGGTAGGTATGAGCTCATGATCTGGTGACTCTAAAAGTATAGTCACTTGAGACAGGTGACACTTGAGAAGCTTCCAAGAATGAAATTGTCCACCAGATTTTAAGCCATTTAAAAAGAAGACATCATTTGAAAAACAAGCAATAAAACCTACACCAAATTAAAACAATGCATCAGAAAAGTCCTGGATAAAAATCTAGGGAAATGTCTCAAATAGTATTATAATGACTGTCTCTTGGTGTTGAAATTCTAAGCAAGTTCTATTACCTTTTTACTTTTCTGTGTTGTCATAAATTTCTATAATTATTGTATGTTGTTTTTCATAAATGTTGACTTGTAAGACATATGCAGAAAGAGAAAAGGAATATTGTATTCGGCTCCATGGTGTACATTTAACAAAAATATTGAGAAACTGAAGCTGATCCAGAAGTGACCAGAATTGTGTATGTGTGTGTGTTTGCATGTCTGTCTGTCCTGACTTTTGTGGGAGCTAAACCAGAGTGAAAGACTAGGAATGGCAGGCAGACAGGTTTGGGGTCAGCACATGGCAGGGGGAACTTTCTAGTAAGTGGAACTGATTGGACGGACAGGTCATGCTGTGAGTAGGATGTTTGGATGTTGATAGGAATCTCGCAGTGAGGTCAGAAGTTGGAGTAGATGACCCCTGGGAGTTTGTCTTAGATTTTACCATTTCACAAGGTTTTGGTAATACTTCAATTAATTTTCACCATAGTGATTAATGAAATGCAATTTCCAATGGATAATTCCAGACAGTTTTACCAGCTATTTTTTTGCACACAGCAGGTGCACACCTGGGGCTTTGAGTGGGTTAGTCATGTGTCACACAAATGTGTTTCAGTAGGTGACTTGATTCTTCCTTCACACCCAACTAAAGGGAGAGGGGACTCTCACCTGGCACCCACATGTTACTTTTGTGGTAGGATAACAGTTGAATGTAGGAGGATAACGTAAAGACAGAATTCATGAAAGTGAAACCAGAATTTGTCTTTTTTAAAAAAAGATTTTCTGGACTTCCGCCAAGATGGAGGCATAGGTGGATGTGCCGTGCCTTCTCACACAACCAAGTTTGGAGACAACTGAATATTAGCAACAGAAAACACAGCCAGAACACGGAAAATTGAACTTTTCGGAAGTCCGTTAACAACAAATTCTTCAGCCTGACCGGTAAGGGGCGAAACCAGCGGCTGGTGAAGCGGGATTGCACAGGAGGTCTCAGTCAGCCAGACTCAGGCGCGGAATCCAGACGCGGAATCCAGGCGCAGGGTTGGACCTAGTGAGCGACCGAACGAGCAACCAGGCGAGGGACCGCGGGGGAGACAGCGGGGCAGCGGGGCTGCGTGTTGACTGAGGTCGCGCATTTGTACGCGGGTGGACAGGTGAGGGAGTGGGTGGTTGGACCTGGCCGGCAGGTCACCACGGCAAGCGGCAGTGGAGGGCGCCGCCATTTCCCTGCTCTGACCCCACCTCCACATACAGCGTCATAACCCAGCGACTCTGAGTAGCCCGGCCCAGGTGAACCACCTAAGGCGCTGCTCCTCCGCACCCAGCTGTAAGAAACAGCAGAGGGGGCCGCCGTTTCCCCGCTCTGACCACGCCCCCACATACAGCGTCACAACCCAGCGACCTGGGAGTCCAAGGCCCCGCTTCTCAAACTTAAAGGGCCAGAACAGACCAAAAATGTCGCAGGAAGACCTCAAAGCCCCAGAGATAAATCTAAGCGACGAAGAAATAGCAAAACTCACAGACACACAGTTTAAAACATTGGTGATCAGGAGCCTCACAGAACTGGTTGATTATACCGACAAATTAGACAAATATATGAAGGCGAAACTAATTGAAATGAATGGAATTGCACAGGACACCAATAGCAATGAAAAGGAAACTGGGACTCAGATCAATGGAGTGGACCAGAAGAAAGCAAATAATGGCCAAACAGAAAAGAGTCAAGAAGCAAGAATTCAAAGAAATGAGGAGAGTCTTAGGAACCTCCAGGACATCTTTAAACACTCCAACATCCGAATTATAGGGGTACCAGAAGGGGGAAAGGCACAGCCACCAGTGGAAAGATTATTTGAACAAATAATAAAGGAGAATTTCCCCAATCTGGCAAAGGAAATAGACTTCCAGGAAATCCAGGAAGCTCAGAGAGTACCAAAGATGTTGGACCCAAGAAGAAACACACCAAGGCACATCATAATTACATTACCCAAAATTAAAATGAAGGAGAGAATCCTAGAAGCAGCAAGAGCTAAGGGGACAGTCACCTACAAAGGAGTCCCCATCAGACTGTCAGCAGATTTCTCAAAAGAGACCTTACAGGCAAGAAAGGGCTGGAAAGAGGTATTCCAAGTCATGAAATCCAAAGACCTACAACCAAGATTGCTCTATCCAGCAAAACTTTAATTTAGAATGGAAGGACAGATAAAGTGCTTCTCAGATAAGATCAAATTCAAGGAGTTCATCATCACCAAGCCCTTATTATATGAAATGTTAAAGGGACTTATCGAAGAAAAAGAAGTTTAAAAAATATGAACAGTGAAAGGACAACAAACTCACAGTTATTAAGAACCACACCTAAAACCAAAGCAAACTAAAAGGACAGCTAGATCAGGAGTGGAAACATAGAAATGAAGATCTCAAGGAGGGTTAGCAACAGGGGAGTGGGAGGAAGAGAAGGGGAGAGAAGCTACAGAAAATAAGTAGCATAGAAAATAGAAGTAGATAGAAGATAGATGGGGGGGGGCAAGAATAGCATGGGAAATATAGAATCTAAAGGAATTGAGACACATGGTCATAAACTAAAGGGGGGGTAATGGCGGGGATGGGGGGTAGGGTGGAGGGGAATGAAGGGGGGAATAGAACTGTAACAGCATAATCAATAAAAAATTAAAAAAAAAAAGAAAAAAAGAAAAAAGAACAGCAAAATGTAGCACTGGGATTACATTTCTGTCTTCCACAATAGGTAACTAATAAATTTTTTTCCCTCTTAAAAAAAAAAAAAAAAAAAAAGATTTTCTTTACCTATTTTCAGAGAGAGGAGAAGGGAGGGAGAAAGAGAGAGAGAGAAACATCAATTGGTTCCCTCTAACACACCCCCAATCGGGCCCAGCTCGCAACCCAGGCGTGTCCCCTGACTGGGAATCAAACCAGTGACCCCTCAGTTTACATGCTAGCACTCAATCCACTGAGCCACACCAGCCAGGGCAGAAGTGAAACCAGAGTTTTGAAGTATCATTAAAGTAAAGCCTCGGATAATTTTTAAATGTTTTTTTTTCAACCAGAACCTTAAAAGTGATGAACGTATTGAAGCATTTGAGATACGTGAGGACATTGGTGGAAAATCACCTTTTTTTTTTTCTTGAGAAAAATAAGATAATTCAGGTATCAGAAGTAACAGATAGGGAGAGGCCTGAGAATTGCTTTGACTCTCAAACAAGTAGAAACCAAAGCCGATGAAACCAGAAACTCAGGAATCAAACATTGTGGCCCATAACAATTTTTCACCCAAAGGAGATTTGATAAGAAAACCTAATTGACTTAATATGATAATAGTAGACGGATGCAGTTTTCAACTTCAGAGCATTCCATGGAACAGAGTTAAACAGTTAAAGATCGGGCTCGGGACTGTTGGAAATGGGTATGACCCCTGACAGTGTCACCCAGGGTATATCAAGATTGGAGTTGGGAGAGTTTTCTTTTTTCTGAAGTTATTTTCGTAAAGCCAGCATCTCAGGTTAAGGCTAGTTATTAGTCTTAAAAGCTACAGTTTATCTAAGAGGGGTAAAAATATTTGACGATTTGTTTTGAATCTCATAAAATAGCAACTAAGAAACAGGAGGCCAGCATGCTTCCTTTGTTTTGTGGCTGCTTTTTAAAAGTAACACCCACCTGAGGTAATGTCCCTGTGCTTTGGGCCTTTTTGATCTTTCCTAATAAGTTCTGGCTCTTAAAAGCAGGTGAATTCACCTAAGGGGGGTGGGTTTGTGAGCTGTGTGAAAACCAGACTCCTCTGGTGTGGGTAGCAATTAGGGCTCCCCAAGAAACAACACCTGGCCCTGGCTGGCGTAGCTCAGTGGATTGAGCGTGGGCCTGCAAACCAGAAGATCGCCGTTCGATTCCCCGTCAGGGCACATGCCTGGGTTGCAGGCCAGTTCCCGGCAGGGGACGCACTAGAGGCAACCATACATTGATGTTTCTCTCCCTCTCTCCTTCCCCTCTAAAGATAAATTCTTTAAAAAAAATTAAAAATAACACCCAAGAGACAACACCCAAGGTCGTGTCTCAGCTGCTGCCTCCATCTGCCTCCATGGTGACACTGCCTCCATGGTGACATTGGCATTGGCTGACATTGGCCACGCAGCCTACTCTGTAAACAGATGGGACAGCTCTCTGCCACTCCACCACTCCATCACCTTGGGTTGTGCTGGCTCAAGGCACTGTCCACCTTACTGTCCACCTTCAGGGCCCACAGCCAAAGAATAACAAGTCAGAAAGCAGCCAGAGAAGCTAAATCCAGTCTTGTGGTAATCAGTTCGTTCTCCCATTTTTCCTTATTCCATATAAACATCTCTTAAGAAATTAGATTCAAAGTCTTCTAAAAAGCTAAACTCCCTGAGAGTTTTTGGAAGTACTGTGCACGGTTGAACAGAATAGAGGGCATGAACACGTGCAAAAGAAAACAAGGGAGGTTCACTCCATAGTAACACGGAGGAGGGACAGGCTGTGGGATAAAAGGTGAAGTGGCTTTTTCTTTTCATTTCCACTGAAATTGCTACTTGAGAACATCCCCACTCAATCCTCCTCTTATACTGCTCCAGTGGAAGGGGAGATATTGCAAATGCCAGTCCGGTAATGAATTTGCTGGGACATTGTAAATGTTCATGTGACACTAAGTCACCATGAACTTGTACTTTTAAACTACTGGGAGAGCTGTCCTGTGGTGTTGGGTTTTCCACCCACGTGCTGGCTGTGTGGCTTCTTGCTGTCACCATGAGGTTGGCGAGACTGGCCCCTGCCCCACGAGCCTGAGTGTATCTGTGGAAAGGGTTTTTGTATTTGTAAGACTGAAGTTTGCATTGGCTTCCTGGAAAACTTGGGGAGAAATTGTGAATTACAGTTTTACTGTGTTTTACTCTATCTTAAAGAAATAAGTACCCCTTTAAAGCCACAAATTTTATAAAAGGCAGGGAGAAAGAGTTCTAGAAGGCCCCTGGGCGATTCAGATGACTTTACAGGGACACTGAAAAGGCTTGTTCAGAAAATGTGAAGTGATCCACGTGAAACACGGCCCTTGACTGCACGCACGGCTTCTTGCTGCTCAGCGAGGACAAGGAGACAGAAGCGGCTCTAGGAGGGCCCAGCAGGCCTGTCTCCCTGCACACACGCAGCAGCTCCAGCCAGTCCTCCCGTTTTCTTCTCATTTAGCACCTTCACCACTTGTTTGAGTCTTGTGATCTTTGCTTCCCCAAAGAAATAACTGTATGTGTGTCTAGATTTTACCACCTTTAGTTTGAATAAACAAACACATAGATGAAGTGAAAAAAATGTTTAATTTCCAAAGGAAATAAATGTAAAGGTTGTTTTCTGTGTTCTGGACATGCTGATGAGCCCTTTCAGATAGCTGGCCAGGGCCGGAACCTTTGGAAAGTCTTCTGGAATCCTGAATTGTCAGGTTATACTTGTGTTAAATGAAATGAAACCCCTTATTTTAAAACAAGGGTATTCACCACTTAATTATAGGTGCTAATATCATAAAGTTGGTATATTTGAATTTTGTACCCTTCAAAGCAATTTCTAAGAGTAATTTTGATATAATTTTAGCACAGTAAAAGAGAAGGAAAATAAAACTGAAATTCAGTAAATTCAGTCTCACAACAGTGTGGGTCCACCAAAACTAAACCCCAAAGAAGTTTGTCTTTTTTTTTTTTAAGAATATCTTGTGGTGATTGTTTTTATTTAACATTAGTTTAAAACAGTTTTTCTGGGGTGGATGAGAGCCAAGCTCGGGGATCTTTGCAAATTCTACTGTTCATTTGTTCCTGCGTTACCTTCTACCCTGACTGACCAGCCTGTCTGTTTGTGAAAGATGTTGGAACCAGGCCAAGGGTGGCATAGTGAGCAGCTCAGCCGTGTCTCCAGCAGGCCCAGGACTTAGAGATGCCTCTTCTATGTGCACCCTGGGTCGGCTTCTGATGGGACTTGTTCCTCACACATGGGTACACTGGCCCAGCCCTGCTGCCTCCCAGGCAGGGAGGGGAGCAACACCAAGAGCAGACTGTCCCAGCAGGCTTGCTCCATGTGCTGGGAGGTGAGACCACTAGACTACTTTCATCTCTGTGTATGTCTTACTCTAACTGAAGGGCTCAGCTTCAGTCACACACAACGCACAGCTGCTTCTAATTTACTGTGCTTCTTCCTCCTCTGTCCTGTGCGAGTGAGCATCTTCTTCGTGGGTTTCTCCATCAAAATCCTAGGACTGTATCTCAGCATTTGAGAGTATGGTTGGGTTCCTCAGGGCCAGGCAGCTGCAGAAGCAGTTGGAGAGCATTGTAGACGAGGCTCAGGGGCAGCCTGTGCTTGAGTGACGGGGCTGTCTTCCACTGGCCACACTCCAAGCCTACATTAAAGAACATGCCACTGCCCTGGCTGGTGGCTAGGTGGGCTGAGTGCCAGCCTGGGAACTGAAGGGTTGCCAGTTCAATTCCCAGTCAGGGCACATACCTGAATTATAGGCTAGGTCCCCGATTGGGGGTTTGTGAGAGGCAACCAGTCAATATCTTTCTCACATTGATGTTTCTCTTCCTCACTTTCTCTCTCCCTTCCCCCCTTTCTAAAAATAAACAAATAAAACATATATTTAAAAAAGTGTCTGCTGTCTTGTAGGCACCCAACCAAGTGGTTACTAGAAATCAAGGGAACAGAGTAAAATGAGAAAAGATTTATGAACTGTGACATTTGTGGTTCTTAGAAAATACACTCAAGCCATTTTTACAAGTAACCTTGTAGATGCATTGTAAAAGGTAACTTTCTTGGTGAACATAGGACTTAATGGGATAACGCAGGAACTAGGCTGAGTGGAGTCCTGTGCGGTACACTAAGGAAGATAGAACAGCAGGCCCCAAGGGCTTTCAGGATTTTGAGATCTGAGAGAAAACTTGATGAGTGACCGACTCATGGTGAGGGCCCTCAGTCCCCAGCGCCGGCTAATCCTGTTCACTGCCCATCTCCTCCTTTTCTTCACTCACAGGAAGAAAAGAATGTCTTAGTTGGGGGTTCTGTAATGTTCTGGCTAATTTTGTGAATTATTGTGTTCATGTGGTTTCAGGTATGTTAAGCTACTGTGACAGATATGGAGAAAGCATGAAACATGTCCTCAAGACTTTCGGACCCATTCCAGAGTTTTCTGGGGCCACAGTTGAAAAGGTTCATCAGGTACGTGGTCTGACTACAGAAAGTTGTGTGGGCTGAGTGGAAGCCCTGTGTCGTAGGGACATTTTGTATGCATCTAGAATCTTTGCCTTTGGTTTTGATGACCCCTCATCCCTAACTTTGCTGTCTACAAGTTCTGCCATGGTCCTCAGAGACCTTAAGAGCAGTGTGACTAGTGAAGTAGGAGCTCACTGTGACTCGTCTCTAAGGAGCTGGAGTCTCTGGATTCAGAAAGCTCTTATTCACCGAGGGTCTACTCCTCTCCTTTTGTCTTTGAAAGCAAATTCAGTTTGCACAAGTAGGAACAACAGTTATGCTTCTGCTGAATTACTTCTTCTTCAGGCTGCTTTGTTCTTTTTTATTTTTGAAAGTTTTTACTTGCAGTTTATAATCAATTTTATATTATTTTCAGGTGTACAGCATAGTGGTTAGACAATTATATGATTTACAAAGTGTTCCCCCTGATAAGTCTAGTGCTCACCCAACACCATATGTAGTTTTACACTATCATTGACTATGTTCCGTGCTTTACTTTACATTCCCATGACTGTTTTGTAACTGCCAATTTTTACTTCTTATCCCTTAATCTTTTTCACCCATTCTTCTAAATCCCTCTCCTATCTGGCAACCATCAGTTTTAGTCTCTCTGTGTATGAGTTTTTTTCTGTTTTGTTTATTTTTGTTTTTCAGATTCCACATGTAAATGAAATCATATGGTATTTATCTTTCTCTGTTTGACTTATTTCATAGAATAATATCCTCTACATCCATCCATATTCTCACAAATGCTAAGGTTTCATTCTATTTTTTATGGCTGAGTAATATTCTATTGTGTATATGTACCATCTCTTCTTTATCCATTTGTCTGTTGATGGGCCCTTGGATTGCTTTTATTATAAATAATACTGCAATGAATATAAGGATATCTTTTTGAATTATGTTTTCAATTTTCCAGATATATGCCCAGAAGTGGAATTACTGTGTCATAAGGCAGTTCCATTTTTAATTTTTTGAGAAACCTCACACTGCTTTCCACAGTGGCTGCACCAATTTGTATTCCCAGCAACAGTGTACAAGGGTCCCCTTTCTCCACATCCTCACCAGCACTTGTTGTTTGTTGGTTTATTGATGATAGCCATTCTGACAGGATGAGGTGATATTTCATTGTCATTTTAACTTTAATTTCTCTGATGATCATTGATATTGGGCATTTTTTTGATACATCTGTTGGTCATCTGCATGTCCTGTTTGGAGAGTGTGTATTCAGGTCCTCTGCCCCTTTTTTAATTGGATTGTTTGGGGGTTTTTTGGTGTTAAATTGTATGAGTTCTTTATAAGTTTTGAATAATAACCTCCTATCAGATGTATCACTGGTGACATGTTCTCTATTTGGTAAGTTGTCTTTTTGTTTTGTTGAAGGTTTTCTTTGCTGTCTGAAATGTTTTAGTTTGATATAGTCCCATTTGTTTAGTTTTTCTTTTTGTCTCTTATTTTCCCTGAACCCAGGCCATGTGTATGAAAGTCCCAGCTGACCCTGAGCACTTGGGTGCCAGGAGGCAGTGGAGAGATCAGTGCCTCATGAGGCTTGCCAACCTGAAGAGTCAGATGCCGTCCCAGTGAAGTGCTGTAGAATGCTGTCGCTCCCCTCAGCGGAAGTCCTAATTGATGGGATCATAATTCACTTCTGATTGTGCCTTGGATGTGGGTACAATTCAAAGTAGCGTTGAATTCTCAGGGCTTTTGATTTTCTGCCACCTGGGCAAGCAAATCCTGTCAAGATTATCCCTTTTGATTTTCAAGTGTGATTATGTAGCCTACATTTTATAGCTAATGATTGTTTCAAATCATTTTAATCTGTAGCAAAATATTTTTTAAATTATTTCCAATCTCTTTCTGAGTACTCTGTGGCCCTGCATTTTTGAGACAACTAACTACTTTCACTTTGCCAGTGCTTATTCTGAATAAAATTTTTTGATTCCATATAGTCGTTCTTTTTCTTCTGATCTTTCTGAGAAAGATAATTTTGATCCTGATGTTTGACGTGTTTAGAGTGACCTAATGAATGACTAAGAAGCAGATACTTCATTCTGGGTCCTTTGTCTTTCGTTCAGTAAAAACCTTCCCATTTGGGCCAGTGTTCCCCACAGCATGTCCCACTGTGCCCTGTGACTCTGGAGTCAGCTGTGTTTGGGAGACTCCATAACCACCTGCCCTTGGGCACTCATCATACCTGTTGGAATTTAGGGGCTCCAAGTTCTGAGTAAAGATACCTTTTATTTTAAAATCCTCACTCAAGAATATGATTTTATTGGTTTGAGAGAGAGAAACATCAGCGTGAGAGAGTAACATTGATTGATTGCCTCCTATACATGCCCCCAACCTGGGATCAAACCTGCAACCTCTTGGTGTCTGGGACAATGCTCCAACCAACTCAGCTACCTGACCAGGGCAAGATACCTGTTTAACTTCACCCAACGCTCCCTCATCTTCTTTGACATGGAAGTGTGTTCCTAGCACTAGCTCTCCAAGTACTCTGGTAAATAGCATAAAAGAGCTTCTACCCCGCAGGACCGGCACGCCACAATAACTTTGGTCACTAGATGCTCTTGATGGCTCCCAGCCCAAATGATGCTCCAGCCTTTCTGTTTCGAGCAAGAGGCTTCCCAGCTTCACCCAGTAGGAGATGCCTTCCTCAGAGCCAAGGCTGCAGTGGTGCTGGAACCAGTGTCCCCAGCTGCGAACTGTGTAGTGCACATCACTCCCCCATCACATGCACTTATTTGTTTAATTTTGTTTTATTTAAAAAATTATTTCTTTTTCGGTTACTGTTGACATATAATATTATTAGTTTCAGGTGTATATTACAGTGGTTAAACATTTATGTAACTTATGAAGTGATCGCCTCATAAATCTGGTACCCACCTGACACCATACATAGTTACTACAATATCATCGACTATTCCCTGTGCTGTACTTTATATCTCTGTGACTGTTTTTATAACTGGCCACTTGTACTTCTTAATCCCTTTCCCTTTTTCACCCTCCCCCCACACACGTTCATTTATGAAACAACGTCCACTGAGCAGCTGTGATGCACCAGGCATCTCATACAGGGTCACTGCCTTTCAGCAGTCTATTGTAAAACAACAAAATGTTAGAATAAAACAGGACAGTGCTCCACAGGGCCATATACACAGGAGATCATGACTGCCTGTGCCTGGGTGTTTCCTGGAAGGCCTCATAGCAGGCAACCCTTGAGCTGGGTCTTGAGTCTTTCTGGCTGAGGGAGCAGAGCAGGTAAGAGTGCTGGGCACCCTGGAAGGGGAGTGGCTGCAACCTGAAAGAGGGGAGGCTGGAGCAGGGCAGACCCAGACGGCATAGCCTTGGGGGGGCGCATCAATGGTCAGACCTCACACAGAGCAACAAAGCCTAAATGGTCTAGGTCTAGGATATCTAGGTTACAAGTGATCCAGTCATCAGGATTTCAGAAAGTTTTTCCTTGCAATGGAGGGGACTGAGCGGGAGGCGGAGCCAGTTTCAGTCCACCTAGGGGCTGATAAGTGAGTGCAGAAAACATCCCAGAGGTAGGGCTAGGTCATCAGGTGAGCTGAGACAGGTGACATCAAAGCCTCAGAGTGTTGACTCCAGCAACTGTGCAGATATTGTGCCATGGTATAGGATAAGGGCATTAATTAGGAGGAGGGCCAAGAAATTTGAATGTCCCAGATATTAAACTTCCTGGAAAAGATAATGTAGCAAAACATGAAGGAAGCTGTCAACCCCGAAAAGATCCTTTTTCATCTGATTAAGTCGTAGCCTCTCCTTAAACTCTGATGACTCAGTCCCTCCCTCTGTGACCTGTTGGTGGGCTGCTTCTGAGTTACAGTCAAGCCCTTGTTTTTCTCCATAGCTTCCGGCTCCTGCTTATTTCCCTTCAACGTACTCCCTGTTGTCTCCTCAGAATCTCTGCATCGTGCTCAATGCCTGCCTGATTCCTTCCCTTAGGAGCACGCAGAGGCTGCCCACGGTCCCTGGACCCAGCTCTGGAGTCACTGATGTGCAGATGACCTAGCTGGGGGACATGGGGTGTTGGCAGGTGTCACACAGACGTGACCTGTTGGTTTTTCAGCATTGATTATCCACTTGGGTCCCAGAAGGAGTAGCCAGGTGAGGTTGTCTGGCCTGACACTCAGGCCAGTAGGAGAGTAAGGCTGGCACATCCTGAGGTCCCTGTGGCAGTGTGGGCAGGATGACTGCAGACAGTTTGGATCACATTTATTTATGAGTAAGTTCTGTTTCCCCACCTTTGCTGTGCAGTGTTGTATGGGTATCAAGTCTGTCCTGACAGACAGCAGAAATGCTTCTCGGTTTTGCTTGCAGCTGTCACAAGGTGTAATAAGGCGAAGTCACCGAAAGTGATGGCCTGAGAGAATGCCAGAGAGCCAGTCTAAGGGCTGAAAAATTAGGCCTTCCCAGCAAGAACAGCATAGAGCATATTTGTGGCCCTGGGCCCGGGAGCACAGAAGACAGTTACGGAAATTGCTGCATAGAGCAAGGAATGGGTCCAACTAAAGGAAGGGCCAGGTATGTGAGCATGACTTCCCAAAGACCCCAAGCAATCTTTGAGATAAATTACAAGACAAAAGCATAGCTTCAGCTTGCAGGAGGCCTTTTTGCCCTTCAGTTTATTATCCCTGGGGCCTCCATGCTCAGATGAGTTTAGCTACTATGAAAGCTCATGTACTAGTTTTCTAATTAATGTCCTCTTTCTGTCCCAGGATTCCAGTACACTGCATTTCATAGCCAAGTCTCCTCTCTGGTCTGGGACAGCTTCTCAGTCTTGCTTTGCTTTTCATGACCCTGATTGTTATAGGAATCCCAGCCAGGTAGCCTGTAGAATGTCACCAGTGTGAGATTGTCTGGTGTTTTCTCATGCTTAGTTACACCGGAATTAGGTTTGGGGAAGCATTCCCCAGAGGTGAAGTGTCTTCTTGTTCCATTCTATGAGGGCCTACCTGACGTTGCTGGAGCTGTGAGAAGGACCAGACTAATCAGATATTGTCCTAACTGGTTTCTGAGTCCTTTTCTCAGAACTTCAAAGCTGTCTGTCTGTGTCCCTGATGTAACACACACACGGTTTCTCTCAGGTTGATCTCTGCTTCCAAATGTCTTTATACCCAAAGCCCCAGTCCACTTACATGTATACAGGACTCATGATTTCCCTTTCCGCTTGATTCAGCCACTTAGTGCTCCTGCAGGACTGGAGGCATTGCCAGCTTCAGAAGAACAAATTGTGTACTGTTTCTGCAGAAGGCACAGAAAGATGCCAAAGGTGGGGCTAGCAGTGGGGTTCCTGTTATTCATGTCTTGCTTGGTTTGTAGGTGCATGTGTAGCTGATGAAATACAAGGTGCTTTTCCCATGCTAATCAAACTTGCAAGACTGAAATAAAAACCAGAATGCCTGTTTTGTTCACTTTCAATTGATCTACTCATAAATATTTATGGAGCATCTACTGTGTGCTGGGCACTGTCCCAAGGGTTGGGGATATACTAATAAACAGGCAAAAAAAACCCTCCCTGAATGGAGCTTTGTCTATAATTCTAGTGGGAGACAGCAAAACATAAACCAATCAATAGGCAAAGTGTAGGATATATCAGAAGGTGATCTGTTACATGGCTAAAAATAAAGCAGAGGAAAGCAATAGGGAGTACAGGTAGTGTGTGTAGGGGCGTTGCGTACAGTTTCTGGGAAGCAACCAAGGAAGGCATGAGAAGATGACAGTGGAGCAGAGACCTAACAAGAAAGTGAGGGTGACACCATGGGAAGATCTAGAGAGGAATGCTTCAGGGAAGAGGAACAAAAGTGCAAAGGCCCAGGGGTGGGAGCTGAAGAGCAGTAGGGATGAGGTGGAGGGCAAGCTCTGGCTGTGAAGGTCAGTCTGAAGACAGGCTTTTTCTCTGCACAAAGAGAGAGGACAGAGAGCTTTTTAAATATTTATTTTATTTTTTTAAATTTGTTTTTTAATCCTCACCCAAGGATATGAGAGGGTTTTTTAAATAATTGATTTTAGAGAGAGAAGAAGGGAGAGGCAGGGAAACATCAATGTGAGAGAGAAACATGGATCAGTTGCTCCCTGTCTCCTGTACATGCCCTGACCAGGGATTGAACTTGAAACCTTCTGTTCCACAGGATGACGTTCCAACCAATTGAACCACCCAGCCAGGGAGAGCGCATTTTTTTTATTGTAGTAATGAATATTTAATAACTTAATATAAGATTTACCTACTTAAAATATTAAATGCACAATACAATATTGTTAATGATAGACACAGTGTTATATAGTAGATCTCTAGAACAGATTCATCCTGCATAATTGACACTTTGTACCCACTGAACAGAAAAACTCCCCTTTCTCTCTCCTGCAGCCCATCAACCACCATCCTCCCCGCTTCTACGAGTTTGACTATATAAGTGGAATTATGACATTTTGACTTTTTGTGACTGCCTTGTTTCACTTACTATAATGTCCTCGGTGTCCATCCACATTGTAGCATATTAGCAGAATTTCCTTCTGTCTAAGGATGAATAATGCTCAGTTGTATGTATATATCACATTTTCTTTATCCACTCGTCTGTCTGTCAATGGACATTTGGGATCTTTCCACATGTTGGCTGTTATGAGAAATGCTACAGTGAACATAGGGGTGCAAATATCTCTTCAAGACCCTGATTTTAATTCTTTTAGATAAATAACTAGAAGTGGCATTGCTAGCTTATATGGTGAATCAATTTTTAGTTTTTTTGATGAATCTTTGTACTGTTTTTTATAGTGGCTGTCCCATTTTACAACCTCACCAACAGTAGATGAAAGTTTCAATTTCTCTACATCTTTACCAATACTTATCCTTTTAAAAAAAAATAACAGCCATTCTGACAGGTGTGAGGTGATACTTACTGGTTTTGATTTGCATTTCCCTG